TGCACTAATATATCTATAAATGGGAAAAACTTAATAAGATATTTACTGAAGCTGCTGTTAGAAGCTCAGATTTAGAAACAGTCAGTGTTCTGATACGAGCGCTTAGGACTGCATATGCACATTTGCTGGCACATCCGAAAAAAATGCAGTTTTTTGTCATGATTTAAGCTTTTAGAAACAACATTTTTGGCTGTTTATATAGACAACAGCAGCGTTTTGGGGGTTTGAAACGCAAACTTTTCAAAACAGGTTTCAAAATGTATGTTTTTTGAAAACAATACTGGTATCATCTTTGTGTAAGCCCAAAGAGAAGGACATGAATAGTTGAAATAAAGTCGTTATTTTTGTTTGTTTGTTTTTGCTCACAAAAAGTGTTCTCGTCATTTGATAAAGATAAAATTGAGTAGGATACACTGTAGTCACTTGGACTATTTTAACGATGTCTTTAATAACTTTTCGGGGCCGTCAAGTTTCAATCCCTCAAGAAGCCTATGGACAAGTATGGAGGAGTGATCCAGCTCTCAGATTTCATCAAAAATATCTTAATTCATGTTCTGAAGATGAAAGAAAGTCATACGGGGTTGGAACAACATGAGGGTGAGTAAATACTCACAGAATTTTCTTTTTTGGGTGAACTATCCCTTTAAATATCATTATGACTTTTTATTAAAGCCAAAATGGTGTTTAGCTTTTCAGTCATTGACAACCAATTAAACATTCACCATGCATTCTAGATAGTCAGCTTGCTGACAATTCTAGAATAATGGTCAAATACAGGCTATTTTGTTATACAGTAGGCTTCAAATGATTATTCATAGATGTATATATGCACTAATGATGTGACAAAGTTATATAGCTGACTGTTGTGGTGATAACTAAAAAAGAATAGCAGTCAGAGCAGCAATCGTTCTCCCCTCAGCCATGTTTAAAGTGTATGGCCCGCCCAAATCTGGGGTATTGGGTATTAAAATGATTGAAAAATTGAAATTGATCTGATTTACGATAGCACAAGATAGCTGTTTTAATCAATAGAGGTCTCTTACTTCTCTTTGCTAAATACAAATGGCAGAGCCACTTTCTCCTTGGCTTTTCTCTCCTCCTCAGACAGGCGTAGATTGAAGGTCAAGTTTGATGCCGGATCAGCCTGTTCAGATCACAGTGAAAAAAAAAGTTACAACAAAAACCTCCATCTAAAGTCATTGAGAATCAAAGCGGCTTTGCTCACCTCTGCTACGTTTTGCTCTTTCCGCACATGCCCATGTTGATGGAGTTTGGCCTGTACAGAAAGGGTCACGTCCTCGGACACATTGAAATACTCTTCCTAAAAATGGATTACACGCTTATGATTTTAGTTCAGAATCACATGTTTATTCAGAGTAAAACCTCATTTCTTACCTCTTGCATAACTTTGCCTGACTTTGTGCGTCGTGTAGTCGTAGCCACAGCATGATGTTCATTGTTTGCAGGTGCCACAGAGATAACAGTACTGGCTAAGTGGCTTACAATCCCTACAACACCTTGTAGGTGCAAATCTGAATGTAGGAGACTTATAATAGTTTTAATATCTCCTCCTAGTGGTCAGTGGAAAAAACAAACAAGAGCATTATTTCCTAAGTCTTGAATTAGTCCATACTTAATGCCTGCTACAGACTGTGTGATTTCAGCAATCCTATAAGATCATTACAAATCACACTGTACGACATGAATCTAATAAACTGGGTATGACATGCATGTAGGGTACTACGATGATGACACTTATTGAATGCCCAAAATCACACAATGCGTCAATGTGAAATGTTTCACCTTTTCTGAGCTCTTGAAGTCTTCGAGAGATGACAACAGGGTCGTGATGTCTTAAAACCAATGAGAGGGAGTCAATAACAAGTACTGGTGCTTTGACATGCTGCGAGTCTTTGATGAGCTTCGTTATGTGTTGAGAAGTGAGCTGATCGACGGTGAAAGATGATCTGCACATCCAGCCGAGGGGATCAGGGAAACCCTTATGAAAATGAAGCCTTAGACACACAAAACACATGAGAAAGTATTTCAGTGGCAAAATACATAAAATCAAATCCTAAAATAGACTGTCCTGAGTGGTAAAAGAATGGAAGTAAATTAATCATTAATATACTAATATATTTAAATATTACACTGTTGTTAATGCCCTTACAAAAGGTGTTAATAAACTGTTGGGAGAAACAATGGTCACTATAAATAATAACAAATAAATATTATCCTACATAGTTAGCAAAATAATAATAAGATAGCAAAATAACCAGGCTTATCAACTTAAAAATAAACATATTATTTATGTCAAAGGCTATGCATATTATGGCACAAATTAATAAATTGCTTAACATGGCTAATATTAATACCTTTACTGTTGTTTTTGCATATATAACATTTGTTAATTAACATCAGTGATAAATAATGGGAAATGAAAAAAATATAAAGTAACTAACAATATCATACACAGTTAAGGTAACAAAATAACCACCAGGCTTATAAACCTAAAAAAGAAATATATGTGGCACAATTTTCAGTACAGGTTCTTTTGTCACTTGGTACTTTGGCTATTATTAATAAAATATAACATTTCTGCTGATGTTTCAGCAAAACTTAAAATAAAACTGCATATTCTAATTTTAAGTTAATACTATTTATTATCAAGGCATTAGCCAGTAATAGTAAAACTTAGTACTTTAAATGTAAAATGCCCTTACATTTTCTGAATGTTACATTTTCAAAAAAGATTAGTCTGGATATACATACAATATTTATGTTTGTTTTGCATACATTTAAAAGAAAAAAAGTTTAATTTTAGGGAGATTTTTATTTATTTTAGCACAATAAACTGTTTAGTTTGGTGCTGTGTCACCACTTGTAAAATCTTCTTGAGTCCTGAAACAAAACAGTTGAAAACCACTGTACTATGATATTTAAAGATTTTAAATGATGTGCATCCTAAATTACACACTGTCAGGACCATTTAATATACATTTCTATGATGTAAAGTGCTTTTAGGTGTCACCATATGCATAAAAGCATGAGTTGATCTCTCTGTTAATCTCTCAACAGAGAGATCAACTCATGCTTTTATGCATATGGTGACACCTAAAAGCACTTTACATCATAGAAATGTATATTAAATGGTCCTGACAGTGTGTAATTTATACATAGATATTAACATCAGTGTTAATATATATATATATTAATGTATGATATATGATATATATATATCATTATACATAGATATATATTAACATAACATATACATATCTATATATATAGATATATATATAGATATGTATATGTATATAGTTTATTTAACTCACTTCTGCACACAGCTTCTGTCCAAGCCTTCACACACTTCTGTTTCACTCGCCTCGAATCCCAGCACATGTACGTCCTCGCCCCTTTAAAAGATTTGAACAAAAACCAAACACTGTAAAAACTTAATGCAAGTCATTAAAAAAATGAATAAGAAAAATCTGCAGACAGGAACTTGCCTCTTTACTGCTGCATTAATAAAACACCTGAGGATGCCCCGACCTGAGCATTTGACAGTATCTGAAACGAACAAACATATATTTACTATACTCAGCAGTGTAGAAATGTACAAACGCGGGGTAAGAGTATTGATATTACCTTGAATGAGTATGAATCCTCCAGCCTCTGCTCCCTGTAGCACATCTAGCAGCATGACTCAAACGCTCATAAACACTATTAGCTAACAGCAAAACAAATCACTTTGGGGCTTGGCAAGCCACTGGATGGCTTATTACACCAGCTCTATTGATTAAACATCTTAAAGACCCAATTAGAATTCAAAACTCGTGGTAATATAAAAGAGTTATGGTAAAATTCACGATCAACACGAGTTTGATTACAGCGAATACTCAATTTCCCAAAAGCACAGCGGCAACTCGACCCGTCACCCGTGCTCTTTCTTCTGCATCGCTGTTTGCCAGCTTGAGTAATGCATTAGCGCCACCTACTGTGCTGTAGTATATAGTGCATGAGTATGATAGAATAAAAGATTGAAAACCCCCTGATGTCATCAAACACATTTGATAGGGATAGGGATGGTTCACCCAAAAATTTCATTACTGACAACATTTACTCACCCTCAAATTGCTCCAAAGCTGTATACATATATTTTTGAGAATATTTCTATAAGTCAATGGGGCCTATCAACTGTTTGGTCAACCATATTCTTCAAAACTACTTCAAAAGTGAACTGTCCCTTCTTCAAAAGTGAACTATCCCTTTAACCATGTGTTATGAGTCTCTTGTTTTTAACGCCTCTATGTCTGAACAGCAAGGATATTTTTAATTTATTAAAGAGGCTGTAAAGCTATTTGTTTCCTCATAATCGTTTAATAACACTTCAGATGAGTTGGTTTGTTTTTGTCATTATTTTGTTTTGGTTTATTTTTATTGTTCTGAGTTCTTTCAGTCTAATTTGTTCTCCCTTGTCATGTGTATAGAAAATCTCTTTTCAGATGATTTGCAGGAGGTGTGATTCTAAGTTTATAATATAATAAGATTTATATTGTAAAAAAATATATATATATTTTGTATTTGTTTCCTCAAGGCCCAACATAACATTTAGTGACAGCTCAACATTGCCCTCTATCGATATTATACGGAACATGGGGGAACAGTGAAATCTAACTCCCATCTATGATAGCTCACTGAATTGTGAAAAGAGAAAAAAATAACTAATATGACTTCAATCTTTAAAAATTATTATTGTAAAATGATATATACATAACATGTGTATGTAGGCCTATATATAATATATGCATGTAAAATAATGATATACATAATTATATGCTATGATATGAGTGTGATATGAGTATATAAATACACACAGTGACAGTAGTAACCCATAAGCCTTCCTTGAAACTGAAATGTTTCTGCTATAACGAAGCCGCGAATCAACTCCTCCATGACGTCATCAGCGTGCGCCGCTGGGTTTCAGTCTGCTGGCCTCTGGAATGGGCAGATATCACCAGCCCATATTTCACCATTGATTTATTGCACGAACTCCACGGAGAGTCTTTATTTTTCCCGTCGTCTACACGATGCTATGCGGAGGTGAGTGTTTTTGTCACAGGGCGTTTGCGTGCGGCTAAAGGAGCGGCGGTTTGAGTATGTGGGAAGAGCGATTAGCTCGTTAGCGTCGGTCCGGTGGAAATCCCAGCCTTTCATTTAGTCCTACTTTAGTTTCAAACATGCTTTAACTACCAAAGTTTTTGACTGGACGAAATGATGCGAACGCACCAAACTGTTTCTCTGCAAATTATTGATCATTTTGCCCGTGTGAAACGTCTGGCTAGTGAAGTTAAAGGCTTTAATAGCAGCTGGCTAACGTTTGAGTCTTAATGAAAACATCACTAGTGTCTCGTGCCACGATTCACTCCAGCGCGATGTCAATCCTGACAGGGATTACTAACGCCCCAAAACATCAAATTTGTACGTTATTGTATCTTATTTTTGGCTAGTTTAATGTTTTTATTACGCTTTTCTTTGTCTGTTTTAGTTTAATAGTGTCAGGATGATGTAGGCAGGCGAAGTTTCCGTTTCATGGAAACTTTTAATTTTAGCAAACGATTCGGTGACTTGCTTTTTAATTTATGAAATTGGCTATCAAAATGAGAGTACTATATTTAGAATCTGGCATGTAGTAGCAGAAATCTACTTTTACTACGAAGCAAAATTGATCCTTGAATTGATTTTATTATTAACATTCACGTGTTCGTATTTGGGTCTGTCGTGTATTTATGTATGATAACGTTACTTGAAGTCTGCTCTAAACGCATAATACGTATAGATATGTATTAATGTGAAATATACCAAATGTTAGACAGCACACAAAAATAGGAACTAGTATGGTGGTTTAGAAATGGTTGCTCCTATTTCTGCACTTTCTTTCTCTTTATTGAATCTGACGTGTATGAGTCACAGAAGCATTATGGGTTCAACACAGTTAGCCTGGAAGAAATGTTATTAAGTGCTTTATCTTTTAGGCCTAATTCTATTAACTATTATGCCTGTTGCTGCACTTATTTTTTTATTGTGATGTTTCTGTGAGATGTAACTAACTGTATTATTAGAATAAGCTCTGGAAAAACTATCAAAAAGGTTGTTTGAGTATGATGTCAACATTACTAATTAAAGTAAAATGTGATAAATCTTCCATTTTGAATGATTCTGCTTATCTGGAAATGGAAGTTTGCAAAATTTCCCTTTAACTGCTCTGAGGTTAAGTGATGTTCGTCATGATGCTCGTATTTTTATTTCTAGTATCCTCAACATTGTATTTAGGACGAACTGGAAGGGGCATTTGTGGATTTTCTTGGTAATTTCCAATATTTTAGTTTTTTTGAAAAGTGGCTTTTGATGAATGAGTAAAACAGGTCTGTGGTTAAGGTTACTCAAAGAGACACTTCCACATTTTGCTCTAGAATATAAACAACATGGTTATACTTAAAAAAATGACTTTTGTTGCTGTTTTTCAAAGGTTTTGTAATGTTCAGTTAAATTTTCGGCCCAGTTTTTTATTTATAATTTAATTAGGGCTGTCAAATGATTAATCGCATCTAAAATAAAAGTTTGTGTTTACATAAATATATGTACTGTGTATAATTATTATATATATATATATAAATACACACACACTTGCATGTATATTTAAGACAAAAATAATTTATATATAAATCTATATACATGAAAATATTTCTTAAATATATACAAGCATGTGTGTGCATTTATTTATATATATATATATATATATATATATATATATATATATATATATATATAATAATTATACACAGTGCACCCACATATGTTATGTAAACACAAACTTTTATTTTGGATGCCATTAATCGCGATTAATCATTTGACAGCCCTAAATTTAATTTAACTTTATTATGAAAACTAAAACTATATAAAAAAAATGGTTATCAATCAATAACAACACTTGTGTTATAACCTATATTGTATTATATGGTTGTTTAATTAATGGTTTAACAATTATTATCAGTTCTGGCACATAAATGGCAAAATTGTGTGGATTAGTGGACATTGTCCAAATAAACTGAATTGAATCAAACTTGGCAGCAACAAATAAATCTAAAGGGTTGATTTGTTGTTTCAAACTGACAAATAAACGGGGAGACAATAAATTGTCCTTTAAAAACGTGAAATGTAAAGTAAACTACTATGCTATGTAATACATATTTGAAAATACGTTATCTTGCATGTTGTTTATAAGTAATATGGCATTTGTACTCAATATTCACCAAAAATTTTATAGCAATTTATATGTAGAGGGAATGCATTGACGTCACTTTCCCGCCGGAACAACCCCCCTCAGCCTGACTGAGTGGCAAAAGATCTGCTGCGTGACTGGATTTAATAGGGGAAACTGCGAAAATGCGACTAAAACTTACTATTTTATACAATTTAAACTAAATGTTGGACTCAATATAGTGTTCCTTACAACTTACTAAAGATCCAGTCAAAGTGATCCATGGATATTGACATGCAGCCAGGAATCGTGTTGCCTAACATTTACGTTTGCCTGATTTCGACACTGGGGAAATAAAAGCAATATAGACCTAACCATAAAGCAAATTTGCCTGTGTGAACGCTTTAGATAAATACAATATAGGTAGGTCTAAATCCGGGTGATCTCTTATGGAAGAGCCTATATATCATCATATCTTCCAGCCCTAAAACTTAACTTTTTTTTTTGGTCAGTGTTTATTAAAAAAACATCCAATAATGCAGAATATGCACTGATAAATATTTAATTGATGAGTTGTTAATATATATATATAACAATACAAAATGGTTATGGTTTTACACCTATCTAAATTCAGCTTATTGACACAAAATGATAACTCCAAATCCACCTTTCGCTGACTGTTCAGTTGTTTCTGTGAATTGCAGCGATCAATTTGCTCTTTCTATAGCAGTCTGTAAAAATATACCTCTGATTTTTTTTGTCAAATCTAGTTGTACAGTCAAATCACAAAGCTCTTTCCCACTTTATATGTGTTTCGCGGCATTCACGCTGAAACAAATACAGCCGCTCAGTCTTTTTGCCACTCACTGTGAGTAACTATAGGCACTCCGGCCGACGGTGACGTCATGCGTAGGGATGCACCAATATGAACATTTTGGCCGATACCGATAATGATAATTCTTTTTATATTTGAAAGCCGATAACCGATATATCGGCCGATAAATCTAATTTTTATATAATTTTTGAAAGCCTGATTGCAAAAACAAAAGTCTCACAATTAAAATCAGTTCCCGAACACAATTATAATGTTCTCATTATAATTTCATGTACATGTTTCACTTTTTCACTCTTTCCTTTTTCCTTTTCCATATTTTCCTTTTTGATTCCAATCATATTTCAAGCAATTAAGATCAATCATGTTGAACAGTGCGCATCTTAAGTGTCTCAGGTGTTGAAGGAAATAATTTATTATTTCTCAGCTTTAATATATCCGCCAAATGTTATTATCGGGCCGATAACGATAACATAAAAATGAACAAATATCGGCCGATACCGATGTGGTGGCCGATATATCGTGCACATTCTTTAATTGACTAGTTGGCACAGTTGTCTAAACCAGCCATTGTAATTGGCTTGGTCAGTATGTCCATCAATAGCCTATATACATCATTGGTTTGAATGTGTTGTTTATATGTATAAATCATTTTTTTATGCATTTAGGTAAGGTGATGGAAGAGGCCAGCGGGAGGTTCTCAGAGCTGATTCCAGTGGTGCTATTTCCGCGGCTGTCAGGCTTTGTCCCTTCCTCTGTTCAGTAACAGCGCCCGTTCTCATCCCGAATCACCATGAAACCAGTCCACGAGCGCAACCAGGAGTGCCTCCCTCCCAAAAAGCGGGACCTCCCTGTTAACAACAACAGCAACAACACCACCTCCACCAACAACAGCAGTAGCATCAGCGGCGGAGCGGGAGGCAGCGCAATTGGGAGTGGAGGTGGAGGTGAGGATGGCCCGTCTTCACAAAGCTCTGGAGTGAGCGGAGAAGCCCAAAGTGGTAGTGGCGAGTGGGTGCGAGCCCAGCCGAGCGTGCATTATGGGGTGGAGGGTGCTGAGGGTCTCATCGGGTTACCCATGGATCAGTACAGCATGCTCTATAAAGTAGCTTTGCCCGCTGGCACCTACTCACCTGTTCTTAGCCACATTTCTCCTGCCTACAACGTTCCTTCCTCGGTGTTACAGCATACCGGTGTTCCCTACCCTCCGCTCGGCTACACCCAGATCCCGCACTCCTCCTTGCAGTTTGTTAGCTCTCCGTACGCGACTGCGGTTCCCTACGGCGTGCCTACGGGATTTGTTCCCCAGTCGCACCTAATTCCATACCAATCAGTGATTCAGGAAGGCGTAGTCTCGTCCCATCAGCAGCAGCAGGTCTCGACCCACGCGTACGCCAAAATGACAGCGCCTCTGGTGCTCCCGTCTGAGCAGGCGGCGACACAAGCGGCACTGGGGACCGTAGGGATGTTACCTGCAGGGGAGCACAGCCCGAGAGGCGTGCCTGTGTTCTACCACCCCCCCGTCAGGGGCGTCCAACCTCAACGAGTCCCAGAACAGGAAAGGGAGGTGAATGGTGGGGACCGAGACCACGGAGGCAGGGAGAGCCATCTAGATGCAGTTTATTCGTCCAGAGGTGCAAGGCTGATGCAGGAGTCCCATCAAGACAAGAGCTTGAAAAACCGCAGGCAGGAGGGGAGAATGTCTCCAGGACAGAGAAGCACGCCAGACACTGATCTCGAGGTAAGGGACAGATGGTTTACTATTATAGCCCGACCAATAAAGGATTTTGAAGGCCGATACAAATATTTTTGGGTTTTAAAATCCGATATTCCGATATATCGGACGATATTTTATTTATTTATTTATTTATTTATTTTTTGTCATGCTTATTTGAGTTAAAGGACAACTCCGGTGTAAAATGAACCTTTGGTCTAGTTACACATTGCTACCTAGTCAACCGTTATCTGAGATTTGTTTTCATGATTGCCGAATGTAAATAGTTTTATCTCTAAAAACAGTTTAGCCTATAACGCTAGTATATAGGGCATAGAGTAATGGCAAATAAAAATCGCTTGTTATTACCACTAACAAGGCTCAAAATAGCCCCACACTAACACGACAGCATAATAAGGGTCCCTACATACAATCCAGAGCATTGAGAACTTTGTCAGTGTCCAAACAGATTAATAAGAAGATATTTTATACATACAGTCAACTTCGCGAATACAGGAAGAAGCCATCTTTGAAAAATAGTCTCTACCAGTCGATCTACGAATGCCGATCCAAGTGCGCTGAACTGTGCAGAATCTCATATGGTCCGTTGTTTTCGGAAGAAACACAAACACGAACCGTTTTCTTCTCTTCAATATGTACACGTAGCCTACTGTTCGCGCTCAGCTTATCACCTTATTCACATCTCACCAGCGCACATGGATCGGCGTTCGTAGATCGACTGGTAGAGACTATTTTTCAAAGATGGCTTCTTCCTGTATTGTAGATAATGTGAATGTTCATACATTATCTATCTATACACAAAAACACTGGACTTGATTCGGTTGTTCTGAAGGTATGTAAAAAAATGTTTACACTTCTGGTCTTCGAGGTCAATATGACCCGACACTGAAATAAATGGGAAATGTGAAAAAACTAAATATATTTTCTTCATGTGTCCAAAAAAAAAAAATTTCCGGCATAAATCTGAAAATTTTTACGCAGAAATGAAGGCCAAGTACTAGAGCATAAATGCAACGTATCATAAAAAAATTATATTTCATATGCAAGCTAATGGTGTAGATGAGGAAGAGTTCCCTCTGGTGGAACTATACAACTCCAACACTCATGACATGGTTGAAGCGTGTTTCATCCGTTTTTATTTTATTTTCGAAATATTCATTTATCGGCCATTATAACTGCCGATACAATAGTTTGGAAAATGCCTAATATCGGCCAATAATATCGGTCTACCGATATATCGGTCTGGCTCTATTTACTATTATAAGATCAATGTGTTAAAGTATGTAAGATGTCTTGCTGAAGGTTTCGTTGAGAGTTTTAGAAATGGACATTATTCACAGACTTTGCATTTCCACAATAATCAGCATTGCAAATTTAGTAAAAAAAAAAAAAAAAAAAGTTGTACACATGATCTATAATTCTATGCATTGTCTTAGCAGTAAATGACACAAAAAAAGTAATTAACACAGCTGCGACGGCTGAGGGACTGATCTGATGGCCAATTTCTGACCAACATAATCACTCTCTTGACAATAGTCATGAGAAAGCTAGCACGATTTTGATGTTGGAGCAAATGGGAATGCAAAAATGTTTTTTTTTTTTTTCTGTCATCTTCAGTTTACCCAACTGACGACTTATGCTAATGGAAATCTCATGGGGTCATGGGGTCTATACGACACCAATCTACTTTTACTTAATAAAAAAAGGTTCCCTTCATCTCAGTGGAATGAGATTTTGTGAATGTTACATTATCTATCTATACATACACAAAAACACTGGGCTTGATTCGGTTGTTCTGAAGGTATGTAAAAAAATGTTTACACTTATGTAAAAAAATGTTTACACTTCTGGTCTTCGGGGTCAATATGACCTGACAT